ATAAGATAATTTATACATATTTTACTTATAATAAAATTTAATTATCTTCTCAATAAGATAATATATGTAAATTTACTTCTGATCAAAATATTCTTTCAATAAAGCAAGAAGAAAATAAGATAAGATATGTGATAAAATATATATTTTATTAAAGAAAAATACTAATTAACTACTCTTAACTTAGTAGCTAATTCTTTCTATCAAACTTAATTATTCTTCTTGATTACTTCTTAACTCTTTATATATAATATTTTTCTTGTTATACTGATTATAAATTATTTCTAACACAATATTTTACTTAATTTATTCAAGAATAAGTAAAATTTGAAAAGAATAATTATAAAGAATATTAAATACATAATAATAAAAAGTTAAAATTAGTGAGATATTAAGTTATTCAAAACTAAAATAAGAAAAGAAAGAAAATTAGTAATAATTAATTAGAAAATTATTAATTTAATAAAATTATAAATTAGATGTAATATATATAACTAATTTAATAAAAGAATAAGACTAAATATGGATAATAATATAAACTAAAAATAAAATTAATTATAAATAAGATTAATTAATATAAATTATTTATTTGTCTTATTTAGTAATAATTAATAATTACTATAATACATGATGTAACTACACCATATACTGCATCACATCTACTATGTTATATGAATAGATGATTGATTATAATATATTTTTACTTATATTTTGATAAGAAATTATTTAAAATTATAAAAATTTATAAATATATTCTTTAAAATATTATTATAATAAATTATAATTAGTTATAATAAATTATAATAAGTTATAGTAAATTATAGTAAGTTATAGTAAGTTATAATAAGTTATGATAAGTTATAGTAAGTTATGATAAATTATAATTTATAATAAGTTATGACAAGTTATAATTTTTATTAAATTTTTTAATAAGTTATAATATATAGTTATAATATAAAGTATTATAATATAGTAATTATAATTATCATCTTTAATTAAGATTATGTATTAACTATAAAACTTTAAATAAAATTATTATTAATAATTACTATTTATTATCAAGAGTTGATGAGTTAATGAATAGACTTATAGCTTTTTAAAGCTAGATTTATATTCAGAATATCACTAAATATATATTATAAAAGAAGATATACATAGAATTATATTTAAAACTTATTATAAAAATTATAAGTTCTTGATCTTATCTTTTGAACTTATCAATATATCAGTAACTTTTATAATACTAATAAATAATATATTTTATAATTATCTAGATAAGTTTGTAATTATATACTTAAATAATATTTTAATTTATAATAAGATAAATAAAGAATATATATAATATTTTTAGATTGTATTAAATATATTTCACAAGTATAAGTTATATATCAAGTAAAAGAAATATGATATTATATAATAATATATAGAGTATCTTGAATATTTTATTTTATCAGATGGTATCTCAGTTAATCAAAAAAAGATTGTTATAATAAGAGATTGACTAGCATTAATAAATATATCAGAATTTTGCTTATTTTTTGATCTTATAAGTTATTATAAGAAGTTTATAAAAGAATTTTTAATAACAGTATCACCTCTCATAGTACTTTTATATAAAGATAAAGATTATAAATGATCTATAATAGTATAATAAGTATTTGAAATTCTTAAATAATATCTTATCTTAATATCAATATTATTGTTATCTAATTCTAAATTACCATTCATAGTAACTACAGATACTTTAGACTTTGCTATGGAAGCTATATTAAGTCAAAATCAAGATAAGAGTAATTAATCAATTATATTTAAATCAAGAAAACTTTTATCTATAGAACAGAATTATCTAATTTATGAGAAGAAATTATTTGTAATTATATATACAATTAGATTTTGAAAGTATATCTTGAAGAGCAAAAGTTTATAGTGATTACAAATTATATTTCTTTAAAATATATCAAAATATAATATAATCTTTTCAAGAAATAAGCTTATTGATTAGAAATCTTACAAGCTAATAACTTTAAAGTAAAATACAAATTTAACAAAGATAATATAGTAGCAGATGCACTTTCTTGTCAATTACACCTAATAAATATCTCAGTTATTATTATTAGTTTTATCAATAAAGAAGACTTAATAAAGAAATATCAAGAAGATAAATATTTTAGAAAAATTTATAAAGTCTTAAAGAATTTTAGTAGTGCAGTATCTAAATAGTAGATCAAAATGAAAAACTTTGAGTTAAAAGAAGAATTATTATATTAAAATAATATAAATTATCTAGTTATATCAAATAATAAAATTTTAAAAGCAAAAATACTATTTAAATTTTATGATATATCAATTACAAAATATATTAAAATTGATAAATCATATATCATTATATCTTAATAGTTCTATTAATTAAAGATAAATAAAAGTATTCACAAATATATCACCAATTATAAATTATATTAACGTAATAAAAGTAATAGTCAATAATTCTCAGAATTACTTTAATTACTTATCATTCCAGAATATAGATAAAAGTATATTACTATAAACTTTATAATTTAACTTTTAATCATCAAGTCTGAATATGATATAATAATAATATTTGTAGATAAGTTATCAAAAAGAATACATTTTATATCAACTATAATAATAGTAACTGTATCTGATATTGCAAAGATTTTTTTGAAAATATCTTCAAATTATATGACTTACTCATAATTATAATATTAAACAGAGATATAAAATTTACAAGTTATTTTTGGAAGTTACTTTTTAAATAACATGAAACAAAATTAGTAATATCAATAGCATTTTATTCTTAAACTGATAACCAGATAGAAAGACTTAATAAAACTTTAGAAAAAATGTTGAAAATATATGCTATCTATTAATAAAATAGATAGAATAAAAATTTAGCAATTGCAGAATTTACTTATAATAATAGTAAAAATATTTTAATAAAATATATATCATTTGAGTTAAATTATAAATAGATATCTCATATACCAATTAATATTCTGTCATCTTAGAATAATATTACAATCTCTCATAACTTCATGAAGTATTGGAATATTATAATAAAAATAGCAAAAGATCTATTACTAGAAATATAAAATAGGTAAAGTAAATACACAAATTAATATAGAAGATTTAAAGAATTTAATCTTGAAGACAAGATTTTTCTCTTCATTTGTAATATTAATATTCTAATAGATAAACAAAAAATAATCAAGAAACTTACATTAAAATTCACAAATCTCTTTAAAATTATTATCAAAATATCTTTTGTTACTTATAAACTATAACTATTATATAATATAAAATTATACTTAGTATTTCATATATCACTTTTAAAGAAATATAATTCAGATGATGAATATAACAGATATTAATCATTACTAATAATCATCATTTCAGATAATAAAGAAGAATATAAAGTTGAAAATATTCTTAATAAAAGAATTTATTATTATAAATTCTAATATTTTATTAAATAACTTGATTATTTTTTCTATAATATAACATAAAAATCTCTTGAAAACTTGAAAAATATCATGAAGAAGATTAATATCTTTGAAAAATTATGCTTTTGAATATAATATGAATATTATACTTTAAGTAAAGAATTATGTAATAATTTTGATTGAATTATCTTTCTTTTAGTTTAAATCTTTATTTTGCATTATCTGTATTATAGAATTACTTTTTCTTAAAGATTAATTTAATATATTAGATTTAGCATATTGTTATACAGATGATCATTATGTATATCATAATTATTAATTTAGATTATTAATATTTTTTAATTATATTTATTATTAATATTTTCTTTATATTTTTATTTATTTTTCTTATTTATTATTTATATTATTATTTATATTATTTATAATTATTGAATTAAAATTAGTTATCCTTTGGAGATATGAATTAAGTTAATTAATTCTGTTTAATCTATATGTATTCTAATTATAGATTATTATTAATTTATTTATATTTTGTATTTATTTTTTTTTATAAATATGATCTGTTTGTTCTATACTTTTAATTTCAAATCTGAATACTTTTAAATAATAAAAATAATTATAAATTATAAATTATAAAATTAAAACTATTTATATCTTATTTATAACTATTAACAAAATAAGTTTATAAAAATTATAAATTTTAATATAGAGAGAAAATTTCAATTTTTACTATGTTTTATTAATAAATTTAGCCTCTAAGTTAATATTTAAATAACATTTTTGAACTGATTTAAAAATCAATCTTGTTTTTTTATATAAATAATTATTTTAATTATTAAAGTTAATTCATTTTAGATAAAATAAAAAAATATCTTATTAATAATTATTTAATAATAACAAAAAAAGTAACTATTTGCTTTATATATTTTAAGTTTTTATTTCTTTCTTAATTTATTATAAATTAGAATTAAGATTTAATTATTAATTATTATTTTTCATTTTTCTTATAAGTAATTTTTCTTTATCTAAAAAGTTTGAATCTTATTAATTTTAAAAATATAAGAAGCTATTTTTTCTTCTTGTTCTTTAAAATACTGTAAATCTTGAGTTTTATAGTGAATTTGAGATAATATTAGAGCAAATAACAATCTTTTACTTATAAAGAACACTGTATTATGTGATTAATTTTGATTGGCAATTGTTCGAATCATGTGGTGCCTATCTCCTATCGCCTCTAATTTGGAAATTGTTAGAGATCCCACTTGCAGCTGGTCGGCTATGCGCCGGCGCTATCACAAACCCGTCACTTTTTTTGCTAACGCTAACGTTTAATAATTTTATTGTATGCAAAAATTTCAATTCAATTGTTATTTTTATATCTCAATTGATCATGCATTAACCCTCTTTCAAATTGGTATGTGGAAAACGCTAACAGAAGACAAAACTTTCTTTTATTATTTTACTAAGGACTATTTGTTTTATCACACCACTCTTTACAATACTTGAATCAAATTAATAATCACAGACCGTATTTAATAAATCATGTTAAGCATATTTTCGAATACTCTTTCATTAACTCCATCTTCTTCACCACGGTCTTCCACAACAACAAACTTTATGCGGTGGTTATGGCGGTCAAAAGCTTCCCGGCTTTTTATACTAGTGTATTTGACGTTCTCGGTGGTGTTTTCATTTACACAACTTCTTCGATATTCGAGTCAACAGTTGGTATTAATGTCGAAACCACAAAAGAGGTGGCCTGCTATACTTAGCAGAACGTATGGTAAATAGTAATGCAAACATGCACGCTTGCTTTCAGCATATTATTGTCATGATATTATAATAATTGATTGGATAACATTCAAAATCGCAGATACGAAGGGAATGTCACCACTTCACGAAATAGAAAATAAGGTTAGATTTAATAAAATGCATTCAAAAATGCCACGGTCTTATACAGATAGTGTGACGCCGTATTATTTACGTGCATATAATACACCAGAGGCTGATGACGTCTCTGCTATGGCATTTGTTACTGAAAATCGGCTCGAAGATTTATTGAGACTAGCGGAGATGTGGCAGGGTGAGTTTTTGTCTCATTTTCATCTTCATCTTCACTCTTCTTTATAAACTTATTTACATAGAATTTTTTGATAGGTCCAATCTCCGCAACTTTTCATTTACCAGCAAAATCAATTAACGAAACGGATCCAGCTGTTCGTAAAACCCTACTAAATTTAAAAAACACATTTACAAAGAACTCTATTCTTCGACGAAACGTCGACGTACATCTGGTAGCTGGTTTAATTAGCACAAAAAATCCCGAGATTTTACCAAGACCCACAAACTTTCATTCGAATGTCGCTCGATTTTTTGCGCGTTCCGATTTCGTCATGTACCTTGATCACGACACGTGGCCTTCGTCAAATACACGCACGATAATAAGGAATTACAAACATTTACTGGAACAGAATGATGTCATCATTTTGCCCACTTTTATATTTACCGAGAACGCGACCACCTATGAGTTTCCTGATAAGCATGCGGAATTGCTCAGCTTTGTGAAAGGAGGGTTGATGGGATTGCAAGATGATGGCTGGGAATTAGGATCAGGGCCGACTTCTTTTGAAAGTTGGGCGAATGGCGAATTGTATAGTATTGAAGAATATGAGTTACATTATCGACCAAATTTTGTTTCTAAAAAAGGAGGTAGCATGCCTTGGTATGCGTTCGTAATTTTTTTTTAAAAAAAAAAATTTATTATCATGCTTAAAAATTAATAAGAGTGATTTTTTAACTTTTCATATAGGTGCACTGAAAGATTTGATGACAATAAAGCAGCATGTTTATACCAATTGTACATAACCGGTTCTGAATTATGGGTGATTCCCGATGCATTTTTAATACGGCATCACTTAAATCCCAATTCACATCTTCTAAAACCTAACGAGTCGAAATGGGCGGTACGAAATTATTTTTTTGCCTTGTCCTCTACATATTATTTTTCTTATATTTGATTTGCTTAGTTATTCTGGCATCTTTTTTTTTTATTCATGATTAAACAAACAGAAAGGACTCAATAGTCGCATGTACACCAAATATCATCGCGAAGCGTGTATACATTACACGCGACAAATGGTGATGGCAGGGGAATGGGGCACGAAAAAAGCACAGCATTTGAAACATGAGTGTAATAGAGTTTTGATTAATTGGGGTAAAGGGTTAATTGAGGGGATATAAACTAAACTTACATATGTTATTTATTGAGGAACGATCAATCAGTCAATAATGGTATGCATTTTGTGTAAGCCCGTGAGAGGAATTTCATGAGTAATTTTTATATTTGTGTGGCTCCTATTACTGCAATGTATATATATGAATAACAACGTAGTATTTGATTTAATACAATTGGCACAATATTTTTTTAATTTCAGCCAAGTCTAAAACTTATTGATTAGAATCGTCTCCCTCTAGAGCCAAACATTGCTCTTTCAAATTTTTTAAATTCCCGAATCTCTTGATCTTTCGCATCCAAAGCACGCAATAAATGCCCAATGCGATAATTCAATTTTTCATTCTCAATGACGAGTGAGTGCATCTTCGCTAATTCTTCATCTTTATTCTCTTTAGCAGGTACACTAACTGAAATCTGCGACGTTGTTTTTTTGTTCCCAATTCCTATGATTTTGGTAAAATCGAAATATTACTCAAACAAAATAAAAGGTTCGGTTTGCTTTTGAGACGTTACTTACCTTCTATAATTTCTTGTAATTCGGATACCTGATCCTGCAGGCCTTTGATGGTTAGATTTATAGGAGTAGGCATTGTAGAATGTGACATTTTTAGGATTAAATAGAAAATACGCCGATTCAAAAAAGTACCCTCTAGCCAAAAGTGACTCGTTGACAAATAAATCCACACGTGCGCATACATGCAACCGTAAATTCAAGTTGAACAAATATATATCCAAAGTCGATCGCGTGTTTTATCACAATTTTTTTTTGTCCAATGCGATAAATCGCAGCTGCTTTGCGGAAGTCTTATATTTTTTAATAGAACGAGAGTTTCTTCAACACGAGAACCTCGAAACATACTTGCAAAAAAGGGAACCATGGACATCTTTCTAGACATTGCTGACGAATACCTTTTCGATAATGTATACGCGTCGATTCTCCCACTGCTTCCAGTATTACCAACACTAAAAAACGACACAACAATTGGCACAAGCCCCATTTCTTCTTCACTATTGTTCTCCACAGCCAGTTCGACTCTACCCCGCGACAACATATACCGACAACTAGTTTCCCTCTTCGTCATAACCCTAGTGTTTGCATACTTTTTTTACTTTTTCTTCGCGACACTTTCATACCTTTTCGTATTTGATCATGATCTGATGAAACACCCAAAGTATCTAAAGAATCAAATTAGCAAGGAGCTTCGTCTGTCGGTGATGGGATTTCCGCTGACTACACTTGTTACCGTGCCGTGGTTTCTGGGCGAAGTCAGGGGTTATTCGAGGCTCTATGAGAATATCGAAGATTATGGATGGTTTTATGCGGTATTCTCCATAGGATTTTTCTTGTTTTTCACGGATGGTTGTATTTATTGGATTCATCGGTGGCTTCATCATCCGTTAATTTATAAAAGATTGCATAAGGTAAGTTTGGTAACCTTTTTTTTTCTTTTAAGATGATGATATAATAAAATCCTCAATTTTTTTTCCCTCAAACATTTAGGCACATCATCGTTGGATTAGTAAGTTTGGTCCTTTGTTAAATGTTTCAAATGTTAACTGTAATATTACTATTAATAGTACTTACTATTGATTAAATCATTATCACTTGTTCAGTTCCGACTCCATTTTCTTCCCATGCTTTCCATCCTCTCGACGGTTACGTACAATCAGTCCCATATCACTTTTTCGTCTTTCTCTTTCCTCTGCATAAATATATTTACATCGGACTATTTGTGTTCGTCAATATGTGGACCATAATGATTCATGATGGTAATTTTTAATTTAAATTAATCTTTTGGTTAACAGATTTTTTTTTCAAATAACTTCATCATCATCATCATTATCCCCATAACTTTGCGAATGTTATTCAAAGGTGCATTTCTTGCATCCGGAACATTTATCAACGGCGCTGCACACCACGCGCTTCATCATCTATACTTCAACTACAATTACGGTCAGTATTTCACATTGTGGGACAAGATCGGTGGCAGTTATCGACTGCCCACCGAAGAGCAGCTCGATCAAAAGATAAGAAAAGATGATCGAGTGTGGATGAAGCAAGCTAAAGAGGTGGACGAATTTGATGATAATGGCAAAATGAAAATGAATTAAACTTGTTCCCTCTTTTTTATTATATTTAAATCATTGTTGGTAATGTTATTCTCATAGTTATAATTTATTAATGTTATGGCTCATTGTGATTATTTATTAAGTTTATGGCTC